GTTATGCTGAGATATATCCTTCTAGTCCATTTTTAAAGTCATGAATACTTTTTAGCATAATTGGCATCATACTTTATGTCCTATTTTACAAACTTTTTTCACTTAATGATATTTTCTGGATGTTTTCCCACATCATTGTATGATACAATTCTACATAATTATTAAAGGCTGTATCATATCCTAACCAGAATCTCTTATTTTTAGAATGGCCAAACATTTCACTTTAAGACACTTTGAAAACTCATGTAGACAAATCCTTCTACTCATATAGTTATTGCCTTGGAGTAATTTTTGTTAGGCTGAAACATGAGTATTTTTAAGTTTTTTAAAACATTATAACTCATTGCTCTTCAATAGGATTTACAATCTCAGCAGTGTTTGTAAATATCCACTTCAAATGTATTGTTAAGATAACAGTTGAGAGCGCACCCAGGTTGTCCTTGTCCAGATTCACATTAACATTTAGCCCATTTTTTTTTACTTGTGTTCCTTGGTTTTGTTCTTTGCTTCTCCCCATCTCTGTCTCTGCAAACTCCGCTCAAGGCACATAAGTACACTTTTTCTTCCTGAGCCATCTGAGGATAAGTTGTATACAGCATGGCCCTTTACCCCTAGATACCTCAGGACAGAGAGAGTTTACATAGCTACAGTTGAATAACCAATATCATCTATTTACATATACTGTAATACTCTAATTTACCATTAATTTTCAATGTTGTCAGTTGCTGTACTGATGTCCTTCATAGCATTTTCTCTTGTAGGGGAGCTGGGGAGATAGCTCAGTGGCATAAGCACCTGCCTGGCAAGCGCAAGGTCCTGAGTTCTATCCCTGATATGCAAAAAAGAATATTTTCTCTTGTACTATAGCATCCAGTCCAGGGTCTATTAGACATTTCTTTAACCTGATTTAATCAGGAATATTTTCATAGTGTTTCTTTGTCTCTTTATAGCTTTAATGTTTTTGAAGGATGCAGAGCCCCTGTATGCTTGTCAAAAATTAATTTTGTTGGTACATTTTAGATATACATAATGATCACATTCATCATATGGAATTTATACCTGTATATAGCATACCTGGATTCTTTTTTTTCCCATCCCCCAACCCATTCCTTATTTATAAAAGCTTTGTTTCCAGATTTTTCCTTCTATTCTCTTCTTTTCTTTCCCTTTCTTCCTTCCTTTGGTTCCCACTCCCATTCTCTTGATCCCCTCCCATTTGAACATTTTCTACCTATATCCCAATATTTGTTATACATTTTGGTCCCCCTTTACCCTTTCAGTTTCTCATACCAGAGAAATAATGTGATTATTTAACATGTGTGTCCAATTCTTTACACTTTTTCAAAATGAAATATTGCTCTAACATTTTCCCTTGATTGGATTAAGGGAACATATCCTCAGGAGAAATCCATGCTGATGGCTTAGGGGCACAGGAAAAGCTCTCTTTGGTCCTTTGAAGTGAACTCCTGACCGATGAGTAATTAATGTGCACAAGGATAGTCACAGGAGCGTAACTACCCTATACCTTGCTTAGGAGAGGAGAGGGAGGTGGGGAACAGGAAAATTTTGATGTTAGGTGTATGAATGGGTTGATGCTCAGACAATAAATGGCACCTATGAGAATTGAATGGCTTCAGGAAATGAGCAATAATTGTCCATTTGTGGCAATATTTGCCCAGGTGTGGTTTCAATCTTTAATCTTCCTTCCTTCAGATATGAATTTAGTTAATGAAAATTCAAGGAAGGGATCAAAGGTAATTATTTTCTTATTTGGCAGTCCAGTCTTTTAGTAGACAGGGGCATATCACAGTAGAGCTTCAGCATCTGTGGCTCTCCAGGCGCCAGATTGTAGGAGTGCAGTACTCTGAGCTCCAACCAAGGTGATGCATCCTCAGGCCCTCAGCTCTAGAGGCTGGCAATAACCGCACATCCCTCACTGGCGAGGTCAGTTTTGTTCACTTGGTCCAGCATTGCTCAGTTTTCCATGACATATGAGGGGTCTTATTTCATTTGATTAGGGGTCCAAATGCATATTCCCTACCTTTTACCAAAATATCACAACTACTAATGATTTTTGCCTAATCCAGTTCTTACTATAGTGCGTGGTGATTTTCCCAATCCCAGACCATCCTCCCCTTTTGTTACTTCTTAGCACTCTAATATAAGCAAGAGCATTCATTCATTCATTCATTCATTCATTCATTCATTCATTTTGTAGACTCCTTCAGTCCTTTAATGTTTTATAATGTATATTTAGTGATCTGGGTACTCAGATTGTCTCAGGCTCAGTGAGTAGAAGACTTACTCAAACTAATTGTTGCGGTATTAGAATCTGAGCCTGTGGCCTTTTAGAAGTGCTTCCTTATTTTCTGATCTGAGCCCCTTTACTTTCTGACATGACACGATGCTTCAAATGTACCCACTCTGTCCCAGCCTTGCAAACAGCTATTTCACTACAAAGTCCTGGCTCCTGTTGATGGGGACTGGTGCTAGAGGCCAAGATCAGGAGCATGTTCACATACTACCCAATTATGGTGAGGGTTTTATGGTGTACACATATATCATACCTATCAAGTTGTTTATTTTTAAAATCTGCAGTTTATTGTATGTCAGTATAGTACCTTAACGGAGCCATTTTGTAAAAAGGGGGGCAATGAAGGAAATAAAAAAAATTTAAGACATTAAAATAAGAGCATAAAATGTTGTTTCTGGATAAAATTTAGAAAATAAAACTCAAAAGGTAGAGTGATTGCAATCAAATTCATGAGGATGGTCAGTTTTAGGGAGGAGACAGTTGGCAGTGATTAGATTTACATCATGAAAGGCTTATAGAGGATCTGCTAAAGTTTCATTTTTTACCTGAATGGTAGTTAGCAGAATGATTTCCTATAATAATTAATCACATTTATATATTTGATTTATGAAATTTGTCTTAAAATTTGTTAAATTTTATAATCAAATGTTTTTAAATATCTACATATTTGTAATTTTTATTATTTATCACAAATTAAAATCATCCTGGTGGGCCGGGGAGATGGCTCAGTGGAATAAGCGCTCCCCTGGCAAGTGCAAGGGCCTGAGTTCAATCCCCGGTTCTGCAAATAATAATAATAATAATAATAATAATAATAATAATAAAATCATCCTGAATAATTAAAATCTTTCTTAATCTAATGATATATTTTGTCCTGCTGTGTATGGAATGTGTTCTGAAAATGACTTAATATTATCAATGAACATTCTAAATTAGATTAGGATGTAAATCTTAATGTATTAAATTTTGGTGGTTGTTATAGAACTTGGGGTTGGGGGATAGCTCAGCAGTCTAAGTACCTGCCTAGCAAGCTCAAAGACCTGGGTTTGATCCCTGGTACCATACTGTGCCAGTCCTACCTCAGGTGCGCCAACCTGGTCACTGAGATTGGAAATGGTGGCACATGCCTGTAATCCCAGGGTAGAGAAGGCTGAGACAGGAGGAACACTATGAGTCTGAGCTGTAGAGGGAGACCCTGTAGCAAATAAATAATTGTTGTTATAAAACTTAATCATATAAGATCAAGCCAAATGTTTGGTTCTATGTAGTTTTTTTTCCGCTAAATTTTCTCATCTTTTTAATTTTCCTTTATGTCTTTGAGAAAAGTTGTAATTGCTCCTTAAAAACCCTACCTGCTAATTTCAAAATGTAGCCCTTTTCAGAGTCAGTCCCTTACTTGCTTTCTCTTGAGAATGCCTCATACTTTGCATTTCTTTATATACAGTTAAATACTTAATTTCTTACTTTAGTGGCTATTGTGAGTGTTGCGTTGTTATGGAAATTCTGGATTCTCTTTTATTTCTCCCCCAAAAATGTTGTGGACGATGGCAAGGATAGGCTTAAGCAGGCAATTACCGTGCTTGGCCTCAAGATACAAATCCAGTCCCTCGGGTAGCAGCGCAGTCTCAGTGCAGCTAGCTCCTGGATTTGCAACCAGCCTTTCCGAAGTCTGCGCCGTGGGTTTGCGAGGCTGAGGCTCAGCCCAGTGTATGTGCAGGTTGGCGTCCGTTCCTCCCTCCCTCCGCCTGTTTGCAGTCCTCCTCTGCGCCCAGCAGCCCGGATTCCTCCAAGTGCTGTCCTCAGCTTTTCTGGGCCAGAACGGTTTTAGTTTCCCTCTGCGGTCCTTACTGGGACCTGCCCTCAGGCTTACCGTCATTTCTAAAGACAACCTGTATCCCCTTTTATTGTTTAGTTCCGTCATTTAAATATTATAGGTGTGTGAACTCAGCAAAATATTCCAAAATAGTCCAGTAGTCCATAATAGTCTGCGCCTCGTACAACAAATAACCACTAGGAAGACAGTATGCAATGTGTTAATTATTGAAACTGTCTTACCAATTTCATTTGAAACTGCTATTTGTTGCAAATTGCTATTTGTTTCTCAATAAAATTATGAAAAACAATAGATTATTGTAACTTACCTAGCTTAAAACTTAACTAAGTATGAATGCGACTAAGGGCAAAAATATCATACAGCTAACTACTAAAAATTTAAATATTTATGTATTTAAAATTGTATGAATGCAAATAAGAGCAAGTAAATATTTTATTTTAAAATGTTTGCAGATTGAGTAGCATATTATCTAACATTTTAATAAAAATTGATTTTCCAAATAAAAAAAAAGAAAAGACAACCTGACTGCGCTCTTGCTCCATCCCAGTGCCAGCGTTCCTCCAGAGCCGGCCTTCGTCAGCATCCTGCACCCTCGCGGAGGGAGCTGGCTTTCTGCTTTGTCTGTCGGAGCTGTTCTGCATTTTTTAAAAATATACCCAGAGTTCGTTCTTTTTATTTAAATGTAAATCTGAAAGGAGCTAATATAACTACTATAGAAATGGGCTGAATGTTTAATTCTTTAAAGAAATAATAATATGAAGTTGAATTCGTTCTACAGATGACTTAATGATATTGAAAAATACTTTACATCTATATTTTTAACTAACTTGAAATACTTTCGTATTATTTTAGGATTAAATCTACTGAAGCTGATGACTGTCAAAAAGAACTTAGAAAACTGAAGTTTGAGTCCATTATCTCTGAGTCACGGTAGATACTACAAATTTTAAAATCAAATTTGAAGCCATATTTTAAGTATTTTAATTTAAATATAATTTTCTTTTTTAATGTTAAAGCTCATAATATCTTATAGTTTTTGCCTTGCTTAATAGAACTATTTATATTAACATCTTTAATTTTTTAAAGTTACAGTTTAATTTTTGTAAGTTATGTAATTTCAGATAAGATTTCCATGATCTTTACTGCATGTTACAACATTATGGGCTGGGGAGATAGCTCAGTAGAATAAGCACCTGCCTGGCAAGCGCAGGGTCCTGAGTTTAATCCCCAGTACTGCAAAAAACCAAAAAAATCATTATCTAATGCAAGCTGACATGATTTTTTTGTTGTCCCTTTTTAGGCACACTAGGTTGCTTAAAGAAAAAGAAGACTCTTTAATGACCTGCCAACAGGTACATAAAACTTTACAGGAAGAACTGTCTATAAAAGAAAGGCAAGAAGAAGATGTAAAAACAAGAATTCAGCTTGCTGAAAATGAGCTTCAGATCACTAAAACTCTTCTGAACCAGACACAGGAAGAGGTTGTGACATTGAAAAATGAAAGGTACAATCGAGAATAATTTTTTTTGTTTGTTTGTTTTTGGCTGAACCAGGAATTGAATTCAGGCCCTTGCACTTGCCAGACAAGTTCTTATTCTACTGAGCTATCTCCCTGGCCCGCAAGAATAATTTCTTACAAAATTTTTCGTGCCAGGAATTTAACTCAGGATTTTGCACGTACCAGGCAGGTGCTGTGCTGCTGAGCTATATCCCCGGTACAAAAGTATTTTATGTTTAAGTTAATATTCCGTATATATTTGAAACATCGTTGCCCTTTATATTATATCAATGAAATTATAAGATTAGACATATTCAACCCCCAGGGCATTGGATCTCACTAATTCATTTTATAAATGATTAAGCTGAACTCCAAATTACTTAAATGACTTGCATAAAATGTCAGTCAAGTAGTGAGAGTAGGGATGGGGCTCAAGCTGCATTTGATAACAGATTTTTGCTGAGAAAAATCACATTTACTTTTCTTCTCTCTTCCTTATCATCACATTTTTTGAGAACTACCACAAGCAAAGATACCTTCTTAGGTGACACTGAGGATGCTAAGAAGCATGTTGGCTCAACTTTATGAGATATTTTTCATTTAATTTGTCTTAAATTAATCTTAGCTGTAAGTAATATTACAACCGTGCCTACTTTCTTTTTGTTTTCGTTTACCTTGTTGTTCATCTTTTCTAAATCCTTTTTGTTTGTAATGTGTATATGAGATATATAGCACATGCTTTAGTGTTTTTATTTTGGGTTTTAAAATCAGATAATTGGGCTGGGGAGATGGCTCAGTAGAATAAGCGCTTCCCTGGCAAGCGCAAGGGCCTGAGTTCAATCCCTGGTTCCGCAAAAAAAAATTAAATAAAAATAAAATAAAAAATAAAATCAGATAATCTTTATTGTAGGAGACTAACCCATTTATATTGGTATTATTATAGTCCAGAAGAATGCAAATCCTCTACGGGCAGGGGTTTTTGTTTTGTATTGTTCTCTGTACATAGAAGACACATGAGAGGGTGTTTGCTGTGCATTCTTCCTATTGTGCTTATCTTCCTGAGCAATTCTTACATTATTAGAACACCTCATTTCCATTGATACCAGGCTAATAGGCTTAACTATTTATTTAGATGAATGCTTGCTGTCTCTTTCACAGTAGTTATCAAGATCTATCTTTGCTCAGATGTGCCTCAAATTCCTCGCTGAGGATGGCTGAAAGTCAATCTAGGAATTATTATTTGGGATCAAATATGAAGTGAAATGACTTATTCTATTTAAATTATCTAAGACTGCAGTTGAAAGAAGGGAAACTTATGAATGTTTTGGTTGTTAGTAATATCAATAGAAGAATTGTAGAGCGTTGTTGCAGGGTTGTTTTGAAATAGCACGCTCAGTTGGACATTCACATATATCTATATATGAATATATCCGTACTTTTAAAAACAGACTGTGAGTGTTATGTTACCTTCTGTTATGAGGTCCACAAGAAGGCTTTTCCTCCCCAGCTTTTGCAGAATAACAACGCTACCAAATTACCTGTCTATATTTCTTACACCCTTGCCCTGTCCTTTGCTCTCCATGCTTTTATCCATCCCAAAGCAAACAGTGCCTGCTCACTTGGTAGCACTCAGCTTACTGCCATGATGTGTGACATAAAATAGCAATGTGCTTATTGACCAGAAAGCTCCTGTACATCATAGGATTACTCCAAGACGTCGTCCTTTTTCTTTGTTCTAGGTTTTCAAGTTTTTGTCTGTCTGCCTCCTAGAGCTCAGCACATATCTCCACTCAATAAATATTTGTTGAGTGAGTGAGGAAAGGAATGAATTGATCACTTGCTTTTGGTATTTTTGGCCCATCGGTCAGTTATTTGTTGAGCATTTATTATGTGCCAAAAACTGTGTACCCTGGAGATACAGGAATGAAACTGAGAAGCTTTTCTTATGAAGTTTTTATTCTCATAAGGACAAATAATAAGAGAAAGTAAAGAACAATAATAATATAGATTATGATAATAGACATAGAAAAAGTAAAGGAGTAACAGGAGGAACAGAAAAGACTGCAACTTCAGGCAATGGTCCTAAATGAGACCTCCAAAATAAGGCATAGAAGACAAGAGGTAGACGCTGCCGGCCAGACACCCAGGTGACTGCGGCTGGTGCCGCAGCAAAGAAGTGAGGCAAGTGGTGAGCAAGCCATGCAGGGCCTTCCTGGCTTCTGGGAGTGTGACTGCTAGATCAGTGCAGCGAAGAAAAGCCATACAGGGCTTTAGCAGAAGTGCGAAGCACACAGCAGAGAGGTAACTGACGGCGGGGTGGCGGCGGCATTGGCAGGGGACAAGTTTGGCTTGATAAAGGATTTTTATGTAGTTAAGAGTAGGAGAAAAGAAAAGTAAGACTGTTTAGTTCCCACCTCTGCCAGGTGCTATGGGTTATTTAGGTGCCTCTTGCAAGTGGATGATACTAAAATCGCTAGGAACCAATCTGTAGTAAGCCAAAAAAGACATCCTGAAGCACAAATAACTCTGAAAGCTTCTGGAATTACGGCCCAAGCTTCCCCTGAAACTGTCTTCCCACACTGTGCAATCCAACAAATACTGTCAAGTTGATATTGTTTTATTTAGTGAAATTCTGTATCATTTCTAATTTTTTTTTATCATCATTGTTTTTTAAGGACTTGCAACTTGGTCTTCTCCTGGCTCCCATTCAACCTGTTAACGGAGCCCTTTCTGTCCGTTCTCGTGCTTTCTCCTTCTCTCCTCCAGTCAATAGCAGACCTTCCCTAAGATTCAGCAGTGAACTTAACTTTCCTTCAGTAAACTGACCCTGCCTCTCAGCTGAACAATCTTGCTCTTGAAGCTTTGATTTGAAATGCTAACTGGGTCTCTAAATAGAGGTGCCCTTAAGCAGTTGGAGCATAGAACAAGCCTCCAAAAGAAACTGGGTTTAGGGGACGGGGACGTGGAATCCATGTAGAGGAGGGGCTTGGCAGCCCCCAGGGAGATTCTAGTTGCGAAGGTCCAAGCAGTGTTCACAGTTTGCTACACTGCTGGTTTAAGACCATCGGCACGACCCCAGACCCAGTCCTAGCCCAGGTCCGGTGAGTGTGTGGAGAGCTTCCTGCTACCCTGCGCCGGCTGGACCAGTCGCAGCCCAGGCGCAGCATGGGCCGGACCCTCTCCCGCCCCCTCGGGCCGCCCCCCAACCCTCCCGCCCAGTAGGAATTTCTGCCGACTTCCGGGAACCCCAAGACCCAGTCCT